CACAGCTGGTCATCTTTCTTTTTTGTTGTGTCTAAAAGCAGCCATATGTCATCAGCAACCCTCTCATGTATATTGAACTTCCTTAGCACATCAGCTTGTCTCTTTGAATGTGTTACCTGATGTCTTTAAAGTGGCAAAACAGAGAAAAGTAGGTCCTCCTGGTCCTTTGTTCATCAGATCAGCAAGAGTCAGGAACATGGTAGACATGGGGTATTTAGGCCCTTGTGCCATATCTATTCTAGCTTTGCTTTTTAATTTCTCCTTGCTTCAGTTCAACTAGCAGAATATGGCTCAAATGCTCAAATGGAGAGCTCTATGCTCTCCAGTAGTAAGTATGGCTATCCTTTATCGATAGGGAAGCCCCAGGGCTACTGAGTGGGTGGTGTTAGATCATCCATGACAACCCCGATTCTCCAGCTCAGTCCGTCTGTCAAGGTGCTTTGTTTGGTGCTCACCATTTTTAATGCGAGTGGTCTTCTCTAGGAATTAACAGAGACATAACAGCAGTCTTTCTGCTCAAAATGTTAGTGTCAGTGCTTGAGAACCATTACAATGTGTATGGCAGGATTTATGCGCATAATAGAGGAGAATATTTATTCTAGGAGAGCTAGATCGAACAGGTGAGCTTTCATGCAAGTTTGAAAAGCTTTTGGTACAGGAGATACCCTTAATCTGTTCTAAAAGCATGCTTAGTAATCTTAGTTCTGCGGTTCTGTATGTGAAGGTCTCTTCTCCTTCACCATTTAGAGTGACTTTATACAGTTAAGACTGAAAGGGTCATGATGTGATGAGATGGGTGATATCTGAGGTAGCCAGGACCACGACTTAAATGGAGCCCCTACCAATGCATAGTCTGGCAGAGGAATATGCTCATAGCACTTTCTGTCGCTGTTGAATTTTGAAACTTCTGGAATGTCAGTGGTTTCTCTCCTTCCTAAATGAGTTGCAGTCACCACATAGAATCAGAAGTGCATTCATTTTGGAGCTCAGTCCTGTGTCCTAAGCATGGCCTTATCATCTGTAGATAGAGAACTAGGTGTTTTGCAGCACTGGTATTTGACCATCCAGTAGCACTGAAGAGTTCATGAGATACCCATGGTTACCTTGGCAATAAAGTGATGAGATATGCTCAGTAGAATGGGAATTTTTAGAGGTGGTGAGATTTTCAAAGCTCTTTCCTTTTTTATGAGCATTAACTCATTTGTTACTGAGCCTCGTGTTTAAACAGACAATTAAGGAATGCTTTTAATAGGCTGAGAAAAGTTAAAGGATGTCAGTGTATTCTTTAGTCCTGCCATTTGTAACAATCGGTAGCATTTTGAACTCATTATGTTTTTTAAGAGTGAATAATTTAGATTCTTTCACCTCCTGAGCAGAAACTCCCTTCTGCGTTCCTTCCTCTGAATTCAGCTTTCTAAATAAGAAAATAAACAAATCTTATATGAAATTTTATAACCTCTGTCTGAGCAAAATTATTATCTATATATATATATAAGTAAATAAAAAAAATAATATATATATATATATATATAAACTCCCAAGCCTAAAACCAAATCCAACTGCGCTGGGCATAGATGGCACTTAAACACCACTGTGTATTGTCATTTAATATATCGGAAGCAAATCGGCAACATTCATACAGAAAAAAATACTTTAAAATCACACAGGGCACCACTGAAGAGCCATCATTAAACAGCTTAAAGTCTTGCCCTCCCATTTGTGATGCATTTGGCACGAAATCACGATCCTTAGATGTTCAGAGGTCCACGGTACCCTTCTCCCATAGCTAGCTGTGTATTGAAGGCTGTAATGACACCAGCCTGCAAGAGATTCGGAAAGCACGGGGAGCTGTGACCTGTACCTTTAATTCATCTCAGCTAGTTCCACGTTGATGAAGTGATCTATCATCATTGCTCCCATACTAGAGCATATATTCCTGCACGAAAGTTTAGCCACTGCAGGGGTGACTGGACCAACATCGCCTGGCATCCAGCAGCGTACAGACTAAACTATAGTTTTTAGTTAGAGAATATGGAAACTGACAACAAATTATTACTTGTGGTCTTTTTCCAGTTTTCAAGTGCAAACATACCAAAGTTTATTTTAAATCCGAGCCAGTCAGACATTTAGTAATATAGATCAAAGAAGAAGCGAAGGCCTCCCATGCTTATTATTTCAATATGATGTCTGTTCTAATAAAGTGTAAGAATGCCTGTGATAGACTAACTAGTAGGAATTTTCTGGTTCTGTAGTTTAGCCTTAAATATATACATATATTTGTAAATTAATCAGAAACATATTGTCGTGGTTTCAGTTCCTCGGAAAGCTGATTGTTTTCAATCTTTTCTTTAATCTTAGAAATATGGTGGCAGTCTGCCAGCACACTTTCAGATAAACAGTCCACTTCACATTTAAAAGCCGTAGAATCACTGATGTTGAAGGGGGGGGAAAAATCAACAGAAAACAACACCGGTTCTCTCTCTCTCTTCCCCAAAATGTA